GGCCATGCGGTTCACCTGAGGACCTCAGTGAGGGGCTCCAGAGGCCTTCCTTGAGGTCCTCTACAACAATTACAGAACAGATTTTCCATCCAGGGGGGTCGATTTTTTGGTGTCCCTAGTACCTTAATGTGTTACTTATTGTTTAGAATGCAGGCATAAAATGTCCTCAATTTCCGAATGAATCGTTTGATTCAACCAAGAGTTCATGGCAAAAGAAAAAAAAAACATGAAACAAAATCCAAAACTCTCTTGGTCGCCTGGCGAAAGTACGTTTATTGAAAGTATCTGGCAAAAGCCTTGATCCCTTCCCAGGTCTCTTGGCCGGTTGGGACGATCTGGCTGGCAGGGAGTTCGAATCCCCAGAAGCCAGTGTCTCGCAGTTCCAGCGTGTAGGAGTACTTGATGTTCCCGACTCCCTTGGCCCAATCGTCCGACCCTCCGGCAGCGGCATCTGTGGAAAATACAGGAATTTGCATTCGTGAACCCATATAACAATTGTGGCTATGACATTCGGAAAATACAGGCCTTCTAGTAAAAGTTCCTCTTTAAGGTAATATTGCTTCCCCTTTCCTATTAATGTGCTGCAATTTCTGATGAAGTACACTATCTGTTTGGAGAAAACCTTTCATGCATTATTCTCACTTCACTGACTTATCTCCGTACAATATTATGTTCTGGTGCTAAAACGACATATTGGTTTCTATTTTCACGTGCATCAATTTGCTGCAGAGGCTTGGTTTCAACCAGAAGAAAAATAAGAGTGGAACGAAGGAAGACCTCATGAAAGTGTTTGCTCCAGGACGGGCTTTAACTTTAACCTATTTGGATGAAATTCTAAAAACTCTAAATTACATTATCAACAGAAAATTGAATTTTGCGTCAGGAACAAGCACGCTTAGTATTTTAAAAAATTATTCAGGGCTCTAAAAACGAGGAAAAACTGCAGCACAAAGTACGTTTTGTCATAATAAAATGTACATTTACTTATTGTGTCTCATACTGTCGCATTCCTACATTAAAATGAATAATTGAAATCGTGGGGCTTCTCAATGATGTCTGGAAAGCGTTTTACCTGATACAATGCCTGCATTTAAGTAACTTGAACAAATTCATTTACCCTCTTAACCTAAGCGTATTGTGGTCTCAAAGTGGACATTCGTTCTCTCCGTAAAATTGTTCATAAATATATGAGTAAATGAGAATGAGAATTAACCTATTTCTAAAAAAATATTCAAATTTTTGATACAACTATAACGAAAAACGTATTTGTAGGGACATCAAAACCACTCATTTCTATCGAACAATGCCAGGATTTGCTCACCCTCATCACTACACCCTCCCGTTGTAACGCAGTATTCTAACCGAAAATATTCGACGATAATGGAAGACTACACGGACAACAATATCCGAGTTCATGAAGTGTATGTGCTGCCAAACATGAAAAACATCACCCAAAAAAAAAATCATGAACGGGGGGTGAGGAAGGAGGAGTTTCGAAACTGAGCGAAACATGGGGTTTTGACTCCTCTCGGAAAAGTGCATTGATCACCCCGGAAGATGAAATATGTAGTACAGTATAATAAATGATCTAAGCACCACCTTTCCCGAGAAAGAGCAGCGGAACTATTAGGTATCACAGAAGGCTTATTTTTTAAAGGAAATTCTATACCACACTTCACGGCATCAAATGCTTTAAAAATCAGTTCCACCAGGAATACCCTCCTCTTCGTTATCCCATCAAGGAACCAGCTCGATTCTTATGAACTAATCTCACGCAAATAAGCGTGTGCTGATTTTGAAACCATGATTCATACGGAGCGAGTGACGAGGGCTGAATTGAGAATCATGAGAGCACTGCTGCTTCCTCATTCGAACGACCCCACCCGTTTGATCCAGGCACCTCGAGCATATACCCATCGCGAAAGACTCCGAGAACATTGAAGAAAATATTTAAAATAAAACATCAACGATAGATTAGGTATCGTAAGGGAGTTAGGGATACCCACACAACACGATTGCCGAGGGACCAAAGGTGAACTGAGTTCCATGAACGTCTTCCAATGCGTTCACGCCTGTCATGCCTGCATCCTCCTATCAGGGGAAACAATTAAAAACGGTGATTTGATTGATGGATTGACGATATGATAGATTGATTGATGATTTGATTGAATGGAATGGTGCTCCCGAGTTTATACACGGGTGGATCAGCTTACAAGGTCGTCGTAGTCATCGGGATATATATAGTCATAACCCCAAGGGCAAAGCCAATATTGGCCATAGGAGTGGACGGTGAAGAATCCTACGAAGCTTTCGTCTGCATTTTCCGCCATGATGAAATCGGCCGCGGATCTCGTCTCAGGTTCGGAGAACGGCTCTGGACCCGCGTAGATCTCGCTGCACGGATCCGAGCTGGCTCCCTGCTCTTCATTCCGGATTTAAAAAATTAAAATATTACTTCATAATTCTGCGGTTCGCTTCGGTCACGAAGTAAGATGGGAGGCGTACCCATCCAATGGTAGTCCCAGTTTCGGTTGGGATCCACGCCGACGCATGAGCCGCTCCAACGCGATCGCGTCTTCCTCCAAAGCCGGGCCTGTCAATTATCGAGTTGAGGCATGGCGCTTTTTGAAGGCGCAGGCAAGTTTACCAACGATGAATCCAAATACTCACGTTGGTGTGGCTGTATTCGTATCCATCAGGATTGTGGAGAGGGAGGAGGTACCAGTCGTAAAGATCCACGACATCCCTGTTTTCTTCGTAGTTCTCCACCAACTCTCGAAGGATGTAGGTCACGACGGCCGGGGCGATCCATTCTCGAGCATGGATACCTGGTAGAAAATATTACCGGATATTGTCACGACATTAAGTGATATTCTCAATGTGAATGTGCAACTTTTCTCAAAGTTGTACCTCCATCGATCCACATTTTCTGCGTAGCTGATCCCGTTGAAACCTTGATCAATTTCATGTCTCGATCTTCATAGCTGGACCCAATGCTCATCACAGTCACCATGTCTGGGTAGTCCTCCGCCAGTTGATCCATGTATCCGTGGATCTAAAGCATTTCCTACCCGTGTGATTATGGTACGCACCCACGAGGTTACGTTCGGGTCGGTGAGACTCACGTCAACGAGACGATGGTATGATGTCCAATCCATTGCCCTGGGGGTTCCATCTTCGTTTGGCTCTGCCACCTTCTGTTCATCCGAAAGCCTAAGAGAAAGGCACATTTCACATCGGAAACCGGCGATATCATCTGGTCAATCGCGACGCGGACACAGCGAAGGCCATATACTTTTGAACGTCACGGATGATGGTCATGAAAGGAAGGCCGAGCTCCCTGAGTCGTCCTTCCAATTCCTCGACCATCTGGGGGGGCACCATGATGTCCGTGTAAGGCTTCTGGACTTCCGTCCAGAAGTCCAGTCGATTGTCGTGACGAAGTTCGGCGAGGTGTCGCAGATCATCCGATTCCTTCGGGAACACTCGCTTCACCTCATACCTGAACGACCAGAAAATTAATGAATTGCACTGAATACATGAGAAATAGACATTATTACCCGATCGAAAGACTCACCCATCGTATCTCACTCGCTCGGCAGCGGCAAAGGCCGCCAGAAGGAGGACCAGCAGCTTCATCGTGGACGTGGAGCTACGAACTACGACGCAGGTCCCCCCTCCCTCCGTCCTTTATATTTGGGTTCGGTCGGGAAGCAGGGCAGGTGCAAGGACCAAATCCTGGAAAAATTTCCCACCGTTGCGCAATGCTGTACGTTCCAGTTTATTTCTGGGAGCTGGGACTAGGGAAAACGTCATCTTCCTATTTAAAGGATGGAAAACAAGGCCCCTGTGAAAGCATAATTTGCCATCCTGGTTGAGTTTAGATTAGATCATTTAAATAATAACGATGGCAGTATCAAAACTAATACAATTTACATTTGTTTTCCATCGTAAAGATTGTGGTAAGGAAGATGACATTTCTGGGGGCTAACGTGTCTACCTTTTCCTATCTTTCTGGCTGTAGTTTCGTCGATATCCGCTTCGAATCTCTGGCAGGGCACGCGTTCGAAAGGGGACCATGCTGAAATATCGGCAGAAACAAGAAAGTATCGACTTTCTTTGCCCGGTGGATGGGCGGCCTGAGAAAGTTCACCGACGACTCAAGGCGCTGGACGGAGAGTCAACGAGGGAACGCCCTGGCAATGATTCAGCTGCCCATTCGCGTATCTAGCCGTCTCCGAGACTGGTTCGTGCAAAGGTCAGTCATCATCGAGTGGTTTGTTAGTCGATGGTAAGGTCCTTAGATGGCATCATGGACCTTCTTTTAGGATCTTGTAATCTTTGTTTTCGCAAATCAAATGGTATTTCACGGCAACTCTTGGCACGCGAATGCGTGGGAAATTCGGGAGACACCGACGCGAAAGCCAAGCAGACCGGCCGAGCACAGACGAGGACACGGCCAAGGTTGAAAGCGAGACACAAAGAGCAAAGAAAGACCATCGACTCTGATCTCGTGCGTTAGGAAACAAGAGAGCCCTTTCTGAATAGCGGCTAGTGATGTGACCCGGATTCGCAGTTATTCATTTCATAATCAGAGAAAATGAAATTACGATGATGAAAAAAGGACGAAGCATCCTCAAAGTGAGAAATGCAATTCCTCTCGTTCCATCTCTTCCGAGCAGATGACCAGTTTCTGAAGTGTCGGCACGTACGTTGGCTATTCTTTTTATTAATTGTTACCATGCTTTAAATTTGTTGCTCATGAAGTATTATGGAGTACTTTAAATCGATGACATCCTTAGTACACGGCAAGAACACTATAAGTAATTGTTGCCGTGTGATATTCGCGCCTTCCTAATTGAGGCTCATCAACTTCCCACAGCGTTCAAGTGAGATACTATTGAGATTTTAAATATAAAATATTTCATATGAATAATATAGGATGCGTCCCATAATAATTTACCTTCCAAAAATTTCCCTGCGAATAAATTTTCGGGGAACTCCTTTCTTCATGACATTCAAAATGAAGCAAAACCTTACGAATTTGGAACTCTCGGGTATCAAGCGAGCGGGGTACTTCTCATTTTCTATGAACCAAATTTCACATGCAACTATTTGTAACAAGAATCAGCCTCTAAAATTCGAAATTTATTCCCATACAATTCAAACATCAACATGTGGAACATCAGCAGGATATGCGATCCGTCATGAAGGAAACCCCAAAGTCCATGCATGCAAATGCTCAACGACTTCCGCCCCGTAGCAATGAAGGGTACGATACTGAGTCGTACACGGTTTGCGGATCGACTCGAGGGGACCGACCCGAATCACGGATCGGGCGCGAAGGTCGATTGGCAATCAAGTTTCCTGTTGGGTGCGGGTTAATCGGGCTGCTAGTTGAACGTAGTGAGCTGAGAGTGCGCCGAACAGGCCAACACGAATGTGACGTCATAGGATGTGTGGGGGGGGGCAAGCAGAACGTACCCAGAGACCTCGAGTTCGGTGGCTTAGAGGCCTAGGCGGGCCGACACGATCCGCGGGTGGGGCCCGCGAAGTTCGGTCCGGCGATCGAGTCTCGGTGCGATTGGGATCGCTTTTCTAAACTGACCGATCGGATTGAGTCCGGGAAAATGCATTTTGGCACCAAGACGATGCGCCGTGTCATTCCTCCGTCGCAGTGAGAGAGGTTTGAACGAAAAACAAGATCGCAACATTGCAGCACGCGCCTTATTCGCCGTGCGACTTTTTTCTGTTCCCGAAAATTAAAAACCCACCTCAAAGGAAAACGATCTGAGGACCTTTGCAGACATTCAGAAGAACACAACGCAGCAATTAAAGGCGGTATCTTCCGATGACTTCCGCTGCTGTTTTAGATCATCGAAATCGAGAATGGAGTGGCCGGAGAGCACTTTGAAGGGGATTAACATTGAAATTGTTGTATTTAAAAGAATAAATGATTTTAAAATATTTCTCGTTTCGTTTTGGCCACACTTTGTAGATGCTTCGTTAGTTAAAGTGTACTGGAAGGTCTCTATTAAGGATAGCGTCACAATATTTCATATTTATCATCATATACGTACTCTTCTCAGCTAAAACGAAGCATGGAAATGAATATTTAAAAAAAAACGAGATGAGGTATTTGAAGTGAGAATGAAGTCCAAAATAATCAATTCATATATTTCCGGGCAAAAATGCGTTTCTGTAACGTTTGCTTCTTGCGCTTTCAAGGAGAAACCACAAAACACTTCCCCAAGAGCCACGCGAAAAGAGCGTTCCGAATCATCGACAATGTTTTAGGCGCCTGACGGTGTGCGCGGAAAAGTTTGCCTGGTTCACCCTTCTCAGTAGGATTGCTGGTTTCTCATGGCGCTACATGCAAGGAGCTGTCAAAATTATTCGTTCACGCCGAAGAGGTTCAGGCATTTTTAGGCTGAAATCGTGAATTGTGAATTTCTTAGTATTTCAAACCGTCTTTTATTGATACGTGCGGGTTTCCCTGTTTCTTTTCCACGTTGCTCTCTCACATATTTAGGCCTAACGCAAGAAAGCCTTACCTAACGCATGAGAGAAATACCAACTATAAATTTGGAGGGGATGGGGCACCGGCATTTAAAGGCCCCACTACATCCTCGTGCTTCCAAATCATCAGTGAGGAACCGTGACGTATGCCGGAATGCTGAAACCTCCCTCGGCGTTCCTCCAAGGAACCTCCTGCTAAAAGCCTCTGCATCTTGGCATGCACAAACCTCCCTTCAGCTTTCCCAAAGGGTTCTCTTCAGGCCGTTCCTTCGCGACGACTTCATCTAGCCTCGCGCAATCAAGCACGATTCCAAAGAAACGGGCGGTGAACTTCGACCCTACGGCAAGAACATTTTTACGCGGTCGTGCCAATGCTCATGAAACGACAGAGAACAAGAAAGAGGACACCAAAAGCAACGAGAGGAGGATCCCTGCATAGGAAGGAAATATCGGTCAACATTTGAAGACAGAAGCGAGGAAGAAAGTTGACCAACGCAAAAAACTAGCGAGTAACTACCATTTTTATTGATTAACGATGTAACCTATCGTTACCTATCGTAACCTAATCCTTTCCCATACTAATAGCAGCACTTATCAATACAAAATGAATATTACATGCTAATCATCATTCAAAAGTCCGCAGGAGATAATACGCAAATAAGCTTGTTTATTTCCCATATCATTTCAGATGCGCATCTGAAATGATACGGGGCACCTACCTCCTAACGAGTGTATCCACCTCCTAACGAGTGAACTACGTGCGAGAAACCACTCTGGTGTCATTGCAAAGCATATCAAGAATCCATTCGACTGCGACGCGGGAGAGAATCTCCGGCAGAGGCAACCTCAGGAATGTGAAGACCAGCGACGCTCGCGGCAAGCGAGGCACTGTCAGGCGACACGGGCCGGCCGTCTCAATTGGCTTGTATCTCATGAGTTGCAGATCTCGTGCAGCAGGCCAATAAAAGGCGTTACATTGGAGTCCATATTCTGAATCGTAATAAATAATTGCTGCAGCTGAAGAAAGATACATGGAAAGTTGAACTGTAAGTCACGGAGAGGAAAAATCTGAGGGCGGATGAAGCTCCGACTAGAATCCTTTTCGATTGCAACTGCACCAGCAGTAGATATAGGTGTCAATTATGAACTATCGTAGACGTATGTGCAAATGAAGCACAAAATGGTGTGCAGAAGACGCGGCCTTGATAATAATACGATTCGCTGATCCATTTTATAAGCAGCAAGCCTATACCCACTTAATTATCGCCTGGCTCAACGTAAGCTCCCGCTCGGTGCTGCGCGAATGCTCGCTCCTTCTGAGCACGGTTTTCCGATGGGGCCTCAGTTGAACATGAGGCCAGAATCTTCGTTCCATGGCCTCCAGTTCTTCCGCGGTTAATTCAGAATGACACTCACCTTGCCAATACCTTTAAGCGCTGGTAGCATCACGACGATGATGAAATAGTCGAAACGACTTCGATTGCGCCAGCTGAGGCAGGAATCGCTTCCGGAAGCCAACAAATTGCTCGATGGCTCAATCCAAGCTTTCACTGAAGTGCCACTCAGCAGCGTTTCATAAGTCCTCGTAGACCGTCAGTAGATCGCTTCTGAAGAGACTGTCTCCAACAAGGCAGCTGCTGAATTTCGGCTTCACCCTTTTCTTCGAAATATGGCTTAAATTTTCTTGTTATATTGTAAGGTATTCTATTTCAATTCCACACTAAGCGAATTTCGTTTCCTCGTCTACGAACATGGCGCCAAGCAAAACGAGAAACAATCACCGACGCATCACATCAGCATAGCCAATACACGTTTATTGGAAATATCTAGCAAAGGCCTTCACGCCTTCCCAGGTCTCCTGGCCGGTTGGGATGATCTGGCTGGCAGGGAGTTCGAATCCCCAGGCGCCAGTGTCTCGAAGTTCCAACGTGTAGGAGTACTGGATGTTCCCGACTCCCTTGGCCCAATCGTCCGACCCGCCGGCCGCCGGATCTGGGGAGACGGCAGCAATCCCCATATTAAATTTCGCACGATATTTAATTGTTCTCCTTCGCCTAAATCAATGAATCTAAGAAACGCATGCCCGATTCCATCAGAATCATCTAATGCAATCAGGCCATGATCATAGAACCGGCGGAGTCAGGCGATTCGAATCGACAAATATGAAAGCACCGGCGATGCTTCATTTACAATGCAACGTGCAACACTTTCAACGAAAACTATGGATACAAATTGTCATCTACTCCACTGCTACGTACAGACAGACAAACAAAATAAAGCCTTTGAAAGAACAGCATAACAAGTAATTAAGGCTGTCAACCGATTAAAGAATGTAATTGATTAATCGTGAGCCATTTCATCGATTAATCGGTCGGTTAATCAAATTTGAATTGACCCCATAGTTCTTCCTTGAATCATGTCCTAGGCATCTGGGAATGATTCCGCTTGTGTCGTGCCCAACACCTAAGCGAGCCTTGAAGCGATTCAAGGTGATGCAGTCGCTATCCATTGATACACTTCGCGGTTTAAAAAAAAATAGTGCCAATTTAAAAAAAAGGAATTATAGTAAATCCTATTCGATCAGCCCAATATTTCACAAACTGCATGTGGATAGATGAAATAAGGTTTTTCACCAACTTTCAAGGATATTGACCCAAAGTATTTCCTGCTCCATTTTTTAAAACCTAAAGGTTCTACACCAAACATCCTCGTTCGTGATGAGAATTATCCGCCTTAACCGTGGTTTAAGACGGATAATTCTCAGCACATGCTAAATTATCTGCACGTGCCATGACGAACGGTCAAGGATTCCCAGCCAACGTATTCGTTTTCGATTGTTTTGCAAAACTATGAACTACACAGCCAAGTTGCGAGCGCAAAAATACATTCAGGAGATTAGGGGGAAGATTAAAATTTGATTGATTTCAACTACTTTTTTAAATGGCAATTAATAATTTAATCAATTAATCGATCAATTACTCTAATCGGATTGATAGTCCAGCAGTAATTAACAGTTACGCACAAAGTAAAGGGAGTCATTCATTAAAGGTGGAGCTTATTTTAGAATTGGGCAATACTTACATAAACCTATAGCCGAGGTATCAAATATGTAGTCGGTTCCAAAAACGGCTTCTATAGCGTCGACGCCCATCATGCCGGCTTCTTCCTATTACGAAAACATGTGTGAGTCAAATGTATTGAATATTACTGTTGTCGACCGTATTGCGTGCAGGATCTCACCAGCAGATCGTAGTCATCGGGATAGATCGTATCATAGCCCCACGGACACAGCCAATATTGGCCAAAGGAGTGGACGGTGAGGAATCCCTGGAAGGTCCGGTCCGCGTTTTCCTCCAAGAGGAAGTCCGCCACAGAGCTCGTCTCGCTCTCCGAGAATGGAATCGGCCCCGCGTAGATATCGCTGCAGGGATTCTGGCTCGCTCCGCTCTCTTTCGTGGAAGAACGAATTCACTTCGCGAATGTTTCCGACCCTTTCGATGCGAAAAGGGACCCGAGACGTACCCATCCAATGGAAGTCCCAGTTTCGGTTGGGATCTACTCCTCGACACGAGGATTCTGTCACCGATCGCGTCTTCCTCCAATACCTCTCCTGTCCATCATATTGAAAGAATGGCATATTTACAATTGCAGTAAGGTAATTATGATGAACATATGGGCAACTTCACATTCTTCAATAAGTAATAATACTATATAAAATATCTGAAGCCTCACGTTGGTGTGGCTGTATTCGTATCCATCAGGATTGTGGAGAGGGAGGAGGTACCAGTCGAAAAGATCCACGACATCCCTGTTTTCTTCGTAGTTCTCCACCAACTCTCGAAGGATGTAGGTCACGACGGCCGGGGCGATCCATTCTCGAGCATGGATACCTGGTAGGAAATATTACCGGATATTGACATGACATTAGTTATTTCTCAATATTTGAATATGGTTCCCAAAGTTGTACCTCCATCGATCCACATTTTCTGCGAAGCAGTTCCCGTTGAAACCTTGATCAATTTCATGTCTCGGCCTTCGAAACTGGACCCGATGCTCATCACAGTCACCATTTCTGGGTAGTCCTCCGCCAGTTGGTCCAAGTATCCGTGGATCTAAAACATCTCCCCATATAAGCTTTAATATAATTCTCACGATTGCAACATTGGGCTGCTGAGACTAACGTCAACCAGACGATGGTAAGATGTCCAATCCATAGCCCTGGGAGTTCCAGCTTCGTTTGGCTCCGCCACCTTCTGTTCGTCCGAAAGTCTACCAGAAAATACAGAGAAGCTAGTGCCACCATCAGGCCGATTGCAACGTTGACACAATGGATGGTTTTTACTTCTGGACGTCACGGATGATGGTCAAGAAAGGAAGGTCGAGTTCCTCGAGTCGCCCTTCCAGTTCCTCGACCATCTCGGGAGGCACCATGATGTCCGTGGACGGCTTTCGCACTTCCGTCCAGAAATCGAGACGGATATCCAGGCGCATCTGGGCCAGGTGTTCCAGGCCCACCGAGTCTTTCGGGAACACTCGTTTCACCTGGTACCTGCACGAACCGAATCGTCACGAATCCAAATATTGAATATATTAAAAATTCATTTTTTTTTGCCCGATTTTAGGACTCACCCATCGTATCTCTTGCGTTCGGCAGCAGCAAAGACCGCCAAGAGAAGAAGAACCAACAGTTTCATCGTGAACGTGGAGGTGACGAACTACGATTCACATATCCGCTCGTAGTCGTTTTATATCGGGAATCGCTCGAGAAGCAGACAGGTGTGCGTATTCTCATTGCGAAACACAGTATGTCCGGGAGCCCCAAAGAAAACAAACTCAATTCCTACAGTTCGATGGCACATGCATTCTCCATACAGTATAGCGTTTTTCTTTTCTTATCGTCCTCCAATTTCAATAGAGATGCGCCAAGGAGAACTGGATGAGAACGGGAGTCCCATGGCCCTACCTTTCACATATTCCATTTTTATATATTTACTCATATTACCGACCTGTGGAAGATTTCCGCGAACTTCGGATCGGGCCTTGACACGGCTTGTCAAACCGCTAGCCCGCTTGTCAATTTTTTTCGGGCATGCAAAGTTCTATTCAAATGTTGGGTTTTGAAAAGCATAGACATGTAATTAATTGAAACTTTGGTTTAAAATTGGCTAATATGATGTGACGCCCGATACTCCTGGCCTAGGCTAAGCGCGTTACATCGTTGGGACTTCACGAGTTTAGTCAGCGGCCCTCTCAGTAATAAACTTTGCGTGAAGACTCACAGCACCTCCCTGTAGACAACATTGACCGAATGGCGCCACCGGCTAGCTCCACCTCGATGCGGTCGAGGGCACAAATTATGGAGAAAACCACATGAATCTGGCCGCGTGTGAAGACTGGCTTTGGAGGAAGAGTCCCACACTTTGAAAGGTCTGGCATTGGCTCATTTATCGTCAGCATTCCTGATTGCTTTTGGCATGTAGCTTCTCGAAGTGATCCTTTTCAGATGTTGCTGTAGAATTCAGCATTCATTGTGGCATTTTGCTGAATAAAGTCAATGAAATTCACTCGTGTCGAATTCCAAAGAAAAAGGCTGCCATGCCACTTGATTGCACGACTTTGAACCTGGTGATTTTGGGAACGAGAAAAGATGCAGGATCTTCCCGTCCACTCTTAAATCGTTCATGCCATTCGTGTCAGCTACTTTTGCCTTAGCATGCATCACCATACTGTGCCCGTATCACACGAAGAACTTTACAAAGTTTCAATCCGTCTCTGCACAAAAATTTGCGCTCTAGCTTGTGCCTCAATGGGCACGTTTTCGATGCAAACTGTCATCTTCTCACGGCCGCTGCGCATGTGCCAGCAGTGTCGTCGAGTCATTAATGCCAACGGCATTAGTTTTATATTGCAAAGATCTTAACATGTACGTTTTATCATTCTAGGTCACGTGTAACTGACAAAAACTTTTCCTGGAACTTTTTGATCCACCCAACAGTTTCCCTCATACCAATGAATCTATTATTCCTGCTAATCCACTTCCTTGATATTTACGTAGCAGAATAATGAATTTCCAACTAAGGTGGTTTTGCTTAAGCATAACTTGGGTCGAACAACAGAGCGAAAGTGGTGCCATTTTCACCATGTAATGGAATGTTGTGCATGCACGCCATTCGACGGCTCCTTGAAACGCATTTGGAAAATAGGAGATGGAATTCTTCAAATCAAGGTGGGGCCGGTATTTGAAGCAATTCTTGTCCTATGTTTCTGTCTTTAAATGCATTCATTTAGACTGATCATGAGCCAGTTCCTGATTTTAATTCCGTTTTGAGTCATTAAAACGTACAATTCGATATAGAATATCCAAAACATGTGACATATAATTGAGTTTGAGCGGCACGAATACACCAGAAAAAGAAGAGGTTTCTTGCCTGATAGAAACATACACTCTCAAAATGAAACCCGTTATTTCAATAAGTGGGAATAATGGCCATCTTCATCGCCTGACCTGAACCAATTGGATTACTCCATATGGTCCAGCTTAGAAGCAAAAGCCACTGCGAAGACAGCAACACATTTTGAGGCTCTGAGACAATCCTTAGGGATTGGGACAATATATCGGACAAGACTGTTGAAAAAACGTGTGAAGAATAGATTCGGAGGTTGAAGGCGGGTGTCAAAGCAAACTGGACATTTTGAGTGAAAAAATTTAATACAAACCTTTATGAAGCCTTTGTTTTAGAAGGTTCCATTCGGTTTCAATGAACCATTTAGACATATCTTCTCACCAAAATTTGCATTCGAGCGTAAAGCCCATCCTGTACAGGGATTCTCATTGCACGTCCGGTCATTGGCACAATGGCGCGTTGGCACATTTCATTCAATCACTCAGGATCTGTGGAAAGTCTGCGTCGTCCGTACTTTCACGTCTTAAGTTTGAAGAAAAAAGATGGATGAAGTCGTCACGTTCGATCAAGTTCGTTGGGCGTTCAAAGCTGTGATAAGATTAAGTGGGGGGGGGGAATTGGTTCGGGTTTTGTTGGGTGATCAAAGGGATAAACGATTGACCGGAAATTGGAAGTTTATCCTTGCCTAGGGCACAGTTTAGACAGTCGGGACAACTCGCGTCGGCACCTTTCAACTCGGTGTGACCCGCTCGAACTCCCTGTTATCTGGTGGCTAGGCTGTATCAACTACCTTCAACGGAATATGGCGCTCTCCTTGGTATCCACGAGAATATATAAAGACAGGAGCACGAGCATTTCTATCGTACCTACTGTTCACCCGCTTAGGATGAGCTATAAAAAAAACTTCATGATGCCTGACCTACGACTATTTTCTTTATTTTCTCTTAACATTCACATTTGAGAGGAACTATTCCAAACATTGCCTCTGAATGATTGAGGATTGATGGCATATCTTCGCCTATGAATAACTCCATACACAAAGAAAGCAACTTTGCCGGTGTAGTGGGCTTGTGTTAGTCTTCACAGTTTCTTTCAATGTTCAGCTTCCAATGATTGCAAAAAGTATCGGTAATACGTTTTTATTCAGAGAAACGAAGGCAATGATACTCAAGAATAATGCAATATCCTTTCAAAGGTGATCAAGTTTCAATTATTTAATTTTTTTCTGGGAGCAGCACGAAGATCCCTGTTGGCAAATTGCAATACATAAAAAATCCTCATCCTCACCAAAAACCTCAGGAAAGGATGCAATTACAGCGTCTGGCAGACAACAGGAAAGTGTGCGGGTCTGAAGAGGCCCTCAACCAACTTAGTTACTATTCCCTCTTAATGCATTTGAGGTTGGAAAATGTTCATGAAAAAAATCATCACACCTCTCCATGAAACATTTGAAGAAATCAGTTGGGAAATTGAAAACATATTCACAGCCATCAAAACTTCTAAAATATGTATATGTGCTACTCTGCTGCAAAATTGGCGAGGGATGCTTCTAAGCTATGGAACAGGTGCTCCACTCATGAAAAAAAAGAATTTCCACAAGAAACACCCTGAAACATTTAGCATTCCATTAGCTTCCAATATGTTAGATACACCTTCCTGTAGATCACTTTGAGAAAATACTGGCACAATAGTTTCCTGGTTCTCAAGCTCCAATGGGCTTTGTTATCCATGCTGCTTCTTGCTGGTTGTGCGATTTCCATGAGGAACATATCATCATCACCTTCACAATTTCCATTCTCCTGCTTGAAAGGATAATCATAGGTAACATGCTGAAAGTATAATTTGAGGTTTTGAGGGACTGGGTTACCTGCATTTCCTCCTAGTTTCCTTATACTACCAAATACATTTTCCAAACTGTCTTGATTGAGCTGGCGAGTCAACAGGAACTCAAAGTCATAATTCTCATGCAGATCTTTCCAAATGAGTATTAAAGATGCAATAGAAATTTCCAGCCTTTGATGCATTTTAATTTATTTGTAACATCCTTGCATGAATCTTGTGCTGTTAGTCTCTCCAACACATTAAGTTCTCAAGTTCTGCAATGCGCACTGAGGTGTTGGACAAGGCACACCGATACAGCTTTGAGCACAGTTTTCGCCTAGAGGTGAATAAGTGAAACGAGTTGTCCAATTGAGCCACAAACCCTGCAGTGCCATAAGCACTTGATGGGAGAAGGTGTGTTGCAACAGCTGTTTCTATTTCTAAAGCTGCAGTTTTGCTAAAAACCTGGGTAGTAAGCTTCACCTTCATCTTTGCAAATCCATTTTGGTGCAATGTTACTCCGTCTAATGAAATGGAACTAATAAGAATTGTCGTTTTCCAGTTGTGCCCTCCTTAAAGACTTTCTTTGTGCCACCATTCTACCACATTTCCATCGAAGTGGAAGTTGTGCTTCATGAACTTGTTCCTGGGGGTTTCAATAATATTTGGTGGATCGTGAAAAACACGATCTCCATTGAAAAGGACCCATGGTGTTTCAGGTTTGACGTCCTCACACTGAAGCAGCTGTAGAAAGTTCGACCCCATGTCACAAATCATAATCAATGGGGTTAGGCCAATTGTTTTCAACTTCTGAACAAGCTCATTGGCTTGAGGCAATAATTGGCTTCTGAAGGGAACTCTTTGAATGTCAACACTCACTATGGTACATAAATCCAGGATCTCCACAGTCGATACCGATGTCACAGTTCATCATCACTATAGTTTCCTAGAGGATTAAGACGATCACGAAAAACGCGCTCCCTTCTCAGCAATTTTCTAATGCGAAAACGTTCTCGTGCTGCCATATCTCATGCGAATGGTAGAGGAAAGTGTGTGGGACAAATTGTTCCTTCGGGAAACAAAATATTTGAAAACTATCTAGAATGATGAGAATATCCAGGTCGAGCTGATGATCGTTTTAGAAAGGTTTAAGACACCTCCTTGGCTGTCTTCTTCCGAGCTAATACTTTTCTTAAACGTAAAAATAGATTTGGCATATAAAAAGTTTAGAACTTTCGAGAAATCGCTTTTGAGAAGGAAATAAGAAAAATATTAGAAATAGCCGTGTGAATTAGAAATAGCACGTTTCAAGAAAAGGAAAATATATAGAAGCTTCGAGAAAGTAGTCCCTGATGTCTTTGATGGTGACTTGTTAGTTAGACTTGCTAGGCTTGTCAGATGAAATTTGTTGTAGCGGCGCTGCTGGTCCGAGGCGCCCACGGAGCACTGATATCATTAAGAACACGCAAATTCTCCTGTACGCACGGATTAGTATTAAGAAACCCCTGGCGAAGAACCTGAAAACATCGCTTGTATGTCGCAAAATCTTCAAGAACACCTGGAAACGGGGGTGGCCCTGTACCATGTAAAACCGTGTTCGATCCCTGTGATGACGTCGTGAAAACAAGAGCGTGGCTTATATATAATGAGGCCATTCATCAGTTATTTACTCTGTTCCTATGAATAATTATCCTATGAATAATATAATATTAATTATTATGATTAATATCCCGATTACTATCGGGATAATAAGGGTCGCTTGAGTATCAAAGTAGCCTGCACATGAACCCTAACGAAGACGTAAAAAAGGTGGGATAATCGTCCATAATCGATGTAATAATTATTTCATGCCTCAAGAGAATAGGTATATGAGGGGTATATGCTGCAGGAAAGCGAGAAATAAAATCTTACAGTGCATGCTGCCAGGCAAAGAGGTAAAGGTGGTGTTCATTTCATCGCGTCAAAGTCCATAAAAGCCCTTGTGCTATTGCCAGGAAAACAATGAAGTGAGGCTGAAAGGAAATGAAGACAAATCCTTTAATGGAAAGGAAATGCGTGGTGTGAAATGGGAGGCCTAAAGTTTAAGGGCTCTAGAAGTTCGGCACTCACAAGAAAAACAGTTTGGTAGCCAAAAGAAAGTAGATCACACAAAGACACACACACACACACATAATTACTCACATTATAAGTAATTATCAGAATAATTAGAATCAGCATTAAAATGACCAAATACATTTCGAGCTCTGATCTAAGTGTAGATTAAAACGCTGAATATCCAAAAGACAGACAAGTGGCCTTAAAATCCAAGAGAAGGCCTCAAGAACCTGGAAAATGGCACTGGGTCCAAAAAGATAGGCCACAAGGTCCAAGGAGTGCGCCATAAAATCTTCAAAGTCCAGAACAAATATATTCTAACCCACAGTTTAGCAATGACATGTTAGCCCCACGGCCAAATCCACGCATATCATTATTCATAGAAAACTAAAAGAATTGTCATTTCTAGACAGCCGGTTCGGCTCGTGGGGTATGGCCACTTCACCATATTATGCCCAGGGATGCGTATATAAATGGCCGGTTAGGCCGAGCATAGAATATCAAGCATAGTACAGTCAGCTCGAATACATCATTCAGCGACGCACTCAAGGACAGAACGAAGTAAATTCACAGACACTGCAAGGCGAGGCACGTTCCGGAAGAAAAGGGCGCATTAAGCACTTCGACCTTTACGCTAGTTACCCCAACAGTTTTTCCAACCCCTTAATGACAAAAAAAAAGAACAGGACATGAACATAAAAAATAATGGCTGACAAAAGTGGCTAAGTTATCCAGACCCACTTGCGGATCGTGAACCTTGCTACTCAAAAGTCACTCCCCCTGATGTGGGAAAACAAAATTATTCATGTAATCAACTCTAACGACATCTGGAATTTCATCTGGAAATATGTTGTGCTGATCAAGCAAGAAAGGAGCCCTTTAATATTCCAAATTAATGGATTCACAGTTTTCAGGTAATGCTTTTTCCTGATCTTCTACCTAAAAGATGACACTGATTTCTTTGTCATCTCAAAGCTCATGTGACTAATGAATGCACTGGTCGAATTGGGGCATTGAAGAATCGTGACTTGATCCACAACAGTAGAATTTCCAAGCCTCCGTAGAGGCTGAGAAGAGAGAATCCCAAGTAAAGCCCGATCATCCCTCCAACGTCTGAGAGAAACAGGTAGGGATGTCAGTCCCTGCTCTTCCACTATTTCAAGCTGGAACACAATGGAAGAAGGATTTTTCATTCGGGTGTTAGTGCTCTAGAGGATTGGCGTATGTGACTGTAAAAGCCATTCATGCATGCTAGAAAGGAATGTATTCTTTGAGAAGTTGTCTTGACCGAATACTAATAAACTTCTTTTCAAACTGTCATTTTCAGCGACTCACTTCGGCTGCGGGGAAGTTCAACTTGATTCCGCCTAGATGCTCTTCAGCAGGAAGTGCTGCCTCCTGGAATGGGATCACGTTATAGACTGTCCTCTTGCATTTCCTCAAACATCCAGGATCGTAAGACTGCAGCGCAACACCATAATGGTAGAAGAAAATAAATTCTTCGAGTGGGGTGCACTGGTCCTGCGTGTTTGTCTGGTCAGGGATGTTTGGTACCACTGACGGCATGGAACACGTAAGGTTCTTGAACACCTTCTCCGTTAGTGCAGTTTCCAAACACTGTTGTTGATTAATGATTATATTCCGGATCACATTTTAGAAATGAAAGAGACCTGGAGAATTAATAGAGTGAGGTTCAAATTACCTTCTGGTAGTCGTAGTTCTCGTCTCCATTGCATTGACTTCCTGAGGGCAGGAAATTGTAGTTTTTCACTGATAGGCTCAGCATGTAACTGCTTCCCTCCGTGAGGAAAAATGTCTGTCCTGAAGATGTAACGTTTTTCATTCCTGTGAACGGTTCTTCTAGCGAGTCTATGCGAATCTCGTAATATCCACTGGTGTCATAGTTATGTTCCAAGTCGTGAAAATTCAAGCGAAGCTCAAAGATAGAAAACAGAGTGGGAAGCTTTATAGGGAGCGTGGTATCAGCATGAAAAGTGTAGCAAACTTTCAAGGGCCAAGTTTCAGTGGTAGTCAGGAACCTGGTCTCTCTCCAATATCCCGCTGAGAAATGTTATGATATGTTTGTCTACAATTTTCCATTGAGATGAGAGATGGAGACGGTCATTAGCTGACTTACCAGCCGTTGTAAAGACTTGAGTGCCATTTATCCAGGTCCAGAAACCTTGAACACAATCTCTTGCAACGTTCGGCTCGGAAAATAAAAGACAGCGGTCTACAATTTTAGCAAAGTCATTGAAAGTGTAGAAGTTCAGCACTTCTAATAAGGTCATATTCAACTCATTCGGGAACAGGAAGGGGGAAGGAACTGTTTCCTTGGTCAGATTGTGGAGCTCCAATGCAGTGTAATTCAACGAATCAGAAGGGCACACCGTGATTTCCGGAAACGTCACACTGGCTCGGGATTCGATCCGTAAATTCAGGATCGTTGGATTGTTATTGTAGTATTCCACCAACCCCTTCCCCTGTAACAGACCCCAGGTTTCATAACATGTTGTTTTGTTTTACTTTCTCCTGAATGAAGAGAGTTGAAAGTTAAAAACCTGAATAATCGTGAGTACGACTGCTGTACACAATATGAGGATCCAGAGTAATTTCAGGATCGCTGACCTTAGTGGCAATCCAAAACGGCTCATTGGAGAAGCAGTCGTCGCTGCAAGATCACACATGAGGAATTCAATGTTTTGTGGTCAGGCGATTGTTCCGCCTCAGGTTCTGGTGCACATTTATTTTATTTAAGTACCACTTACCCTGGTCTACGAGAGTTACTGGGGGGAAAATATAAGTTCGGCGTTGTTGTTGAAATGGTATTTCAGATATGAGACCTGAAAATTTTCGTCAAAGAAAACAAGTATCGTTTGCTTTCTAAATTATTCATTTCCTTGATCATCCTTGAGTTTGAGAGGAGATTTTGGACTAAAATTAATGCTAAATTAACTTAGAGTCAGAATAATAAATGCATTTCTATATTTAAAAAAAAAATTAAGTTTACATTTTTCAAAAATTGTAATGAAATTAGTATTTTCACGCAAATGTTGAGCAATTTGTAACATGCATGCTTCGTTTCAGGCCAATCGGAGTCGGAAGCGCGACGAAAATTCCGAAAATGTGATCACCTCGAATGCCTGAAGTACATCTCTGGTTCATCCTTTGATGAAATCGACATTTCATGGATGCAATTAAAAAATGAAATTGGCATAATTATGTTTGGGAGTGGAGAAAGCACAGAAAGGAGGTTTAGTTTTAAGAATTGGGTAGAATAAACCATTTTCGCTTAACACATATATTTTTAGTATCTTCACTTCAATTTGCTAAGAACATAAAATACCACATTTACATGTTTCCTGATGATTGCACTGTTTGCTCGCTTTGTTGAAGAGAGAAAACCAAAAGTAAGAGGTGCGATAGTGGGTCTGTCTTTGGTTTGGGACATTAATAACCTTCGGGAATTATATTCAACCTGGCGATAATTATGCATTAACAATCTGGTATGATAATCAAAAGAGACGAATCGCCGCGAAAGGGCATGAAAGCAAATGCTACGCACCTTGTCCAGGAACAATGTCGGATCCGTTTTGCGGCTTCAAGATGTTCCGAGTAACTCCTGGTTCCACTTTCTCCATGCCAGATGGAGCAATACTGCAAAACGCGTCCATACGAATTGAAGCAATAAAGGTTTACCACGGACAAGCGTTTCGATCATTATGCGAGTAGTTCCAATCAGACCTCTTCGTAACCCCGACAGATTGTTTCAATAACTCTATTTCTCTCCTCCCCTGCACGAAGTTTCGCTCCAGAGTGTGCAGCCTCTCGACCATATCATGCTTCTCATCCGGTTTCCAATTAAACAAATCGTCCATCGTCAGCGTTGCGTCACCTTTGGAATGGGTCGGGATTTCCCCTCTGTAGATCCTTTGAGAGGGAAAGTACTCCCGTTTCGGTAGGGATTGGGGAAAAGAGCTAATTATAACCTCATTCGTTATAAATATTCTTGCCAGCTTCAAGGTTTAAGGCTGTTAAGTGGCATCAACAGGGGATAGCACACATTTGGACACCACGCGTCAAGGTCGAGAGTTCCATAATTTTAATGTAAGTTGATTTCTCTTAAAACTAATTTTTTGTTATTTTTTTATTATCTTATCCTAGTTGCCTACTGATTAGTCCCTTATGTCTCCATTGCCCCGCATCTTGCTTGTCCATAAGAGCATCTATTTTCTTTAAAAAAATAGTCACTTCATCTTTATTAATGTGGCGTTGCATATCTCGCATTCCCTTTCGTCAAATCAAGCAATCCACGGGCAGATGAATAACTTACCGAGAAACCTCCAGCAATAGGGAAGATGTCGACATCTGCTCTATTTCAAGACAAGCTGCATTTTCATGAAACAAGGTCATGCACTAATAGAAGACCTAATCTCCTTACATGAGATATTAAACTCATTCGTAGATTTCGAAGAAACGGCTGTCCTCTTGGAATGAGGAATTTCCTCGCAAAGAAGAAACTGAAGCCAGTTTCGTATGCTTAGTATGTGAATTACCATGTCATGAACTCACCCAGACAGTCGCGTGTCAATCCAACTCGAGAGCCACCGACGACGGCGATTCCTTTGTGAACTCATCGCTTCGAGTCTTCCAACGTTACCTTCTCGGAAGCCCTCAGACGATTAAGGGTAAGTATTGTAAAGTGCGCAGTATGACCTCTCCGGCCAGTGCTATCGTCTCTGGGCAACATGCTTTGGGTTCTACTCCGCGTGCGCATGTGCCGTGGGCTGGGCTTTCACTTTGACCTCTGCTTGGTTAGCCAACTCCCCCTTGCCAAGTTAAAAAATTATAATAATTAGACGATATTACAATACGTCAAAATACTCATGTCTCTACGACCATTTTCGCCAAAACCATGATATTTTCAGCTTGCCTTGAAAAAATACATTCATAATGCAGGCAATTTATAGTGCGAATAATACTTTTTTGCATTTGAATATGCATGGCCTATAGAGTGCGGACGGCATTCGATGATTGTAGACTAAGAATTCTGCTGCCTTTGACGTGCGAGGTCTATCTGCCCAAGCCTTTCCAGGCTAGAGACAGGGCACGGGAAGATCCGTATCAGTACGTATTCCGACGTTAAGGAGGAATATGTCGCGTTGGAATAGTCGACATATTTATGACTCCGGTGTGATACTCGAGAACCGTATATTCGCAATTAACGACAGAATAGAAGAAAGGAAAACAGATAAAATAAGAAGCGGCGCTTGAAGAAGTGACAGGAACTGAAATCATCGGGTCAGCACCATTTGTTAATGTGATCGTTTTCGTTCCCAATTTTCATGCAGGCGAAGAAATGAGGTAATATCGTATTATTTGGAATATCCTGTCTCTATGAGTAACATGAAAATTACCTCCGATGCCGAGTTGTTCCAACTCGCTGCCATAATTATGCATGTCCAAAAACATCGCCTTTGATAGGGCAAAATCTTCAATAGAACACCTGGAAACAAGTGCGTCACTGTACCCTGTAAAACCGTGTTTGATTCATTAATGACGTTGTGAAAGCAAGAGAGTGATGTACATATCGAGACCTAAACTGCAGTTGTTTACACAGCTCCTATCAATAATTGCTACTCGGCGACCTTTATTAACCTGATTACTTAGACGGCACAGAAACCCTGACGAGGGAGTAAAAGCGATGCAGTCGTCTATATTCTTGTCGTTTCATGCCTAAAGAAAACGGGTATATGCCGAATATATGACGAGGGAAATCAACAAATATCTTACAGGGTATACTGCCAGGCAAAAAGAGGGGTAAGGGTTGATCATATAAATCGATTCAAAGTCCAAAAATAACCCTGGGGTATTGCTAGTAAACCCATAAAGTGAAGCTGGTCGGAAATGAAGTCAAATCGATTGATGGAGAGGAAATGCGTGGAATTCGGGTGTGCAACAGGAGGCCTAAGTTTAACGGGACCCAGGGATTCTGCACTCACAAAAAAAAAACAATTTCCTGTACAATACAAGTGGATGAATCACACACACACACACACAGATTTGCGCAATTTGTAATTATTCATTAGAATCGCTATTATGAACATTACAATGATCTAAGAAAATTCGAGATCCAGAGAAGACCCAAAGGCTCAAGTTCAGGAAGACGAAAGGCCTCAAGATCCTGAGAAGGCACAATTTCCCGTAGAAAGCCGCAAGAACCAGGGAAATGTTACGGGGTCCAAAAGAATATGCCACAAGGTCCAATCAGAAGTGACCCACAATATTTTCGAAGTACCGAACAAATTATTCCAACCCAGCAGTATGGCCTGTATTTCGTTTTCAGGCAATGTATTCGTCTCTGGGCAGCCTAATAGGGAATGGAATCCTCGTGCGCGCATGTAACGGGCATGACAAACGTTTTAACGCATTCACTGTCCACCTCTAAATGGCCGGTCGACGGGAATTTACGATTGCAAAGTTGCACTAAATTTGCTCTTCACCTCACCGGTGCAGCCCACCGTGAAACCATAATTTCGCTATTCCAAGCTGGCCGTGCCGCAAATACTATTTCCAAAACACTTGGTGCTCCACTTTCCTCTGTACTATGCGATAAAAAGTTAAACGGAGGTTGTAACCTCTGAGCACCGTCCAAGAAGTGGCCGACCGTCGACTGTCAACACAGTTGTCGTGCGCTGTCGCCTCTGTCGACTTCTTTAAGCGCAATCCGCAAAGGTCGCTACGCGTACAGGCCAAAGCTCTTGGTGTTAGTCGAGAATATGTCTGACTCATTGCAAAAAAGGAGCTTAAGATGAAGCCCAACGAGTTCCTTAATGTTCACTTTTCGAAGCCCAGGGGGAGAATCAACCAGGAATTAACCGTGCTGCTGTCCTTGAAGGCTTGGGGGCAGATAAGCAATTTACGGCGAAAAGAAAAAAATACCTTCCTGCAGGACTCCGCCCTATCCCACAAGTCCTGATGAACTCTCGCGTGGCGCGAAGCGAATTTTGCACACTTGATCCAGCCTGACGAGCGGCCCTCCAGCAGCCCGGACGTGAACCCCATGGATTTCGACATCTGGGAGACGTTAGATGGAGATGTTAGAGGTTACCTGCTCTAAGCCCCATAGGATATTTGCTGACATGAAGAAAGGCATGGAATTAAATTCCCAACGAATACCTCCGAAACTGTGCCAAAAGCTTCCGCAAGCGGATCGAGGTATCAGTGGGAGCTAAAGGGGACCAAATTGAAAATTACTATTTTCATTTAGTCATTACATGGGCCTCTATCAATGCTTTAAGTTACATTTTGATTGCTAAATATTTGTGCGTGGTAGAGGGCAATAAATGCTGTTCCAAGGACTTCATCGTCACCCTCTATGACCGAGAGTTCAGGAACTGGCAGTACTATGTTTTCTGATCCGAACTCATGTGAATGTACTTATTTTTGAATCCATGCCCGACGCCTTGTCCGAAAACATTTCAACTGGTGAGGAATTATCCTCCCCGGATCTTCCGTTAATATCAATCGAGGAAGAAGACATCCGTCCACCAGACATGAAAAAGCAAAAATTCCCCAGATAGTCGAGACTTCGCGCGTTGTAGAGAATATATGCCAAGCCAAATGGTGGCGTCGCAAAAAGGAGAGCTTTTTCGGCTTATCCAGGTCCATTCCGTAAATATTTATCAAGTAACGAGGACCAGTCACTCATGAATATCCCAAATCGTCTTAATTAATCGCCTCGTAGGGACAACGACGTGAGAGGGAATGAGATGGAATCGCCCATAAACGCTACGCTCATTAATATTTAATGTCTGGAAAAGAGGTGAAGGACATTTCTTTATCGGTGTCCCATATATATGTTATTCGCGATTGCTCCCTTCCTCGGGCCCGTTCCCCTTATTTCACCATCCGGCCGCCTATTGCTTATGAGCATTTGCGTGCTTATCCTTATTTTCATTATAATGAGGTCGACTCGAACGGTATACTCATGCGAGTATACCGTTTCCCCAGGGTATTTATAAATTATCTCTCAGAAGTATCCAAATGCTTTCTGTCTGATATCAATATTATTATTTTTTTATCACTCTTTATGAGAGACTAATGTCAGTCATTCCGGGAAATTCCTCCTCGACGGATTAACGGATGTTCATGAATGAGATGTCAACCAAAAGCTGGACGCGATACTTATTTAATTATTGACCCAAAAAGCGATACTCATCGGGTCAAATGTTCAAAGGGTTCGCTGCGAACGTTGTTGCCGAGTCGAAACTCGATCGGCCCGTTTCGAATCTCGGCCCGAACCCGACCCGAAACTCGATCACCGACCGAGCTTTTCTGATCCGAGCTGCAAATCCTGTTGGGATAATCCGGCCGGTCCTTCGCAGACCTGCGCTGAAACGCACTCTTTGGTGGAACGGCTCGGAATGAAGGGCGTGCTGTGGCACGGAAAACCGTGCAATCGCGAAATCTGAAACTCATGAAAATACTCTGCATACACCGAAAAAAGCATATTTCTTGAACATTGCTACACGCCCTATGCACGGTCCTATCGAGCCAATCCGCATCTCGGCCAAACCAAAAATCTTCCCTCATTCTACCCGGACGTTGCATATTATAACTGCGTTTTCACTTTAAGACTGAAGAACGGAACTCCCTGAAAATTTGCATACGTGTGATTTGGATTTCTTCGATGATGGAATGCATTTCCTATTATTGATTGAAATTTGAGAGTTGCTTCTTTTGAAAATTCTGAGACGGAACTCACTGCACATTTTGACATAAGGGGACTAGAGAGCCTCTGGTGACGGAATCCATTTCCCCTTTCTCCATCTGATTCCTGGGAGTTTCAAGTTCATTCATTTGAATACCGCATGTGTCAATCAAAACCTTATGACCCGGAGGCAACACCTATTGGGTCAACAATTCCAAAAGTCCTAAAATTCTGACGTTAGAGGGCCTAATTTCGGCGGTAATAATAGCAATTTGCCGATTAAGTCTTCCCAGGCGAAGTACTCACAAGCAACAATTCAGTCGGCGACAGATACTGTTGCTACGGTAACAGCTGTCAATGATCATAAATTAATGATCATTAACACGTGATCCTATCTCATATTATGTCATATGTCGTGCCATATTTCATGTCATGGTTCATGTGCCACCATCATGTCATAATACTACCAGTCCCGTCAGTGGCCGTCTCGGTAATGAACTTTGTGTGAAGACACACAGCACCTCCCTGTAGACAACATTGACT